AAATCATTACTGACAGCAGTTAGAGAGCGAAGCAACTTCTGTTGAGTTAACTATGTGTAGTCTGCATTTGATACAATATGAAAACTGTTCGTCACCATGTTCCTCACATCTCAGATGTCTTTGTGTTGGTTTTCCTTCATTTTGCCTTTCCTTCCTTTTTTGTTTTTTTCTTTTCAGGTGATCCATGCTCTTATGGGAAATGCTGTGCAGCCCTTACTGACTTCAGTGGGAGATGCTATAGAGGCCATAATCATCACCATGCATCAAGAAGATTTTTCTGGGTAATAACATTTAACCCAATTTTTACTAACTTGTACTGCCTTTGTTTTTCATTCCCTCCTACCATAAAGGGCCTTCTTCCTTTTGTGATGCTGTTAGTTTCCAGCCCTCTCCTGCTTTATCCATTGTGAGTGCCATTAACAAATTAAAATTTTTCAGTTCTCGTTTTCATCATTTCATTCCTCTCATTGAAACACAGAATGAGTGTGGGACTCGGGTTGGCACTTCAGGCCTTTTGATAGTTTGTACCATCTTCCCTTTCTAATCTTGTATTTTTCCTTTCCTCTCACAAATCCCTTCAACTTCAGGCTCTTTGTCACGCTCTGGCATAGGTAGGGATGGTATTCCTTGTGTGAAATGCCCTGCCTCTGCCACTGTGTTAGTCCAAAGCCTGCTCTGGCTTTGAGAGCAAGCTCCTGCCCAACCCCCTCCAAGACTGATTTTCCTTCCTCAGAGATTCTGTGGCAATCCAATCTGATCATGCCAAACCTAGCCACAGACACTATGGGGTTATCCCAGGGCTGTTTCATGTGCGTATTGCTCATCTATAACATATGTATGGTGAGAATAATTATAATTCCTAACCCAGTATTTACTGAAATCTTTTAAAATATTGTAAAATGGTTTTGGTTCAGTGTATTAGAAAACTGTCTGTGGGGAATTTGGAGTAGTTATTTGCACATGCTTACAGTGATTTTTTAAAAACTTAATTACATTCTAGAGCTAAACGTTCAAATATTAATATGTAGATATGTATTTTATATTCCTGGGCTAATAGTTGCTATTTTTGAACTATCCTGTTTCTCATTATATTCATATTGTTTAACAGAATATCTACTTAATGAAATTTCCAGCCACTAGCTTAGCTATTTGTAGAAAAAATACTCATCATTTCACTGTCCTCTAATTTTTTGAATTATTTATCATTTCATTTACGTAATATCTTTTGAAATGTCAAAAGATCAGTCTTTATTTTTGATAACAATATGAAGCAAAGAAGAATAAAGTGAATTCTATCCAAAAATGCTATATTTGGAACCCAATAGGAGATAGGAATATAAAATGTCTGATTATCTATATTTGGGAGGTAATGGATATTGTTCAAAAGTGATCTGAAATGTCCCAGTTAGAGCAATCATGAATGCCTCTGAAAAGGATTTAATTTTTGAAGGCATATTCTATAATAGGAGTGGGTCAGATACTTTAGTAATTTAATTGGTGAGCCATGACTAGTGCCTACAGATAACACATTAGACATTAACAGCTAAAAGTTAGTTTCCCAAATAGGTATGTTTTTACTAGTTTGCTTAAATATTAGTGAGCCAGATTGATTCTTTAACTGATTGGTTGCCATGAGCGTGAAGGATTATTAATATTATAAGGTGCATAACATTGTCCTTATGTTTTTACCCTAAATGGCTTTTGGTAATTCCATTTCGGCTCAGTATGTATACAGCAGTCTTTGAGAGTCCAGTGAAAATCATTCTCCATATGTAGCAGTATAGGAGTATGGAGCACTTTTGCTTTTATTTAAAGTATTGCCCCCATGGCAGTAATTTTCCCACTTTCTAGAATGTTGTTATTAGTAATTCTGTCATGTCCTTTTATATATGTATGACCTATATGAAATATAAGGTGAATTTGGATGAAACTATTCAAGAAGTAGGAATCACCTTTCTATTAGGGCCAGCCCCCAGGGGTAGTAGTTTGAAAAATAACAGTGAATACCTGTCCCTTCAAGCCCTCCACACCTGCTTTTAGGTAAAAGGAATAAATCAAGTTTACCTTCTAGACCAACCTTATATATTAATATGGGTACAGAATGCCCTGCTATTTAAAAATTAATCTTCAACATGCTTTCTTAGTATTTGAAATTTATTTTACAGGACCAATATTTTTCTTTCCAAATTAGATAAAACTTAAAATGGAAATGTCTGATTGACATAGCACACTGATTAAAATTATATCATTTAATGCAAAGTGACTCATGTGTGATTACAGTTTTGAGTGGGGGAGGGAAGGCAGTAAAAGGAGGACCACAGATCCTTAAAGTGATGGATCAGTACCCCTGAGGGAGAGGAGAGCACACATACCAAAGACTGGTGACATAAAGATAAACATCTACCACTTCTCAGTTGGGCATATGTTTAATCTTTCTGTCTTCACCTTCTTCATGCAAGCTGTCATTATCAAGACCCTTAAATTTCTGCACAACTCACTACTGAGCTTTATTAGTTGAGAACCTCTTAGTAAAGCCTTTGGTATAATTAGGAAAACTGAGAGCTATTGCAATAGCCAAGCAAGTTTGTATTCTGGTAAATTTAAATCAAACATCTAATCCACAAAGAGATTTGTTAATACATATTTCCAAATTTTGTCTAATAAGTTGTTTTATTTTACTTATATTGACATGTACTTCTGCAACTTGTTTTTGTATGTTATTTTCTACTCCTCAGTGATATCATTTAAAATGACTAGATTAAAATTCTTGAGATAATACTACAGAGTAGTACCAACATTCTGCTTTTGATTAAGTGTAAGAAGATATAAAAGACCAACTATATGCTGCCTACAAGAGACTCACCTCACCTATACAGGTGCACATAGACTGAAAGCCAGGGATGGCAAAAGATATTGTATGCAAATGGAAGGCATAGAATGCAGAGGTAGTTACACTTGTATCAGACAAAATAGACTTTAAGTCAAAAACTGTAAAACAAAATGAAGAAGGACATTTTATAATGTTAAAGGGGTCACTTCGTCAAGAGGATATAAAAATTATAAATGCATATGCACCCAACCTCAGAGCACCTAAATGTGTAAAGCAAACATTAAAGAATGTAAAGGGAGAGAGAAATCTCAATACAATAACAGCACGAACTTCAGTACCACACTTTAAAAAATGGACAGGTCATCCACACAGAAAATTAATAAAAAACATTGGATGTGAACTACACTTTAGACTAAATGGACCTCACAGACATAAACAGAACATTCTACCCAACAGCTAGAAAATACATGTCTTTTACACAAAACTTTCTTCAGGATATTTCATTTGCTAGGCCAAAACCAAGTCTGAACACATTTAAGAGAACTGAAATCATACCAAGTATCTTTTCTGATCACAATAGCATAAAACTAGACATCAATAATAGGAGAAATCTTGGAAAATTCACAAATATGTGGAAGTTAAGCAACATGCTCCTGAACAACCAATGGGTCAAGGAAGAAATCAAAAGCAAAATAAAAAAATATCCTGGGAAAAGTAAAAATGGGAACACAACATACTAAAATCTATGGGATGTAGCAAAAGCAGTTCTAAGAGAAATTTATAGCATGAAATGTTTATATCAAAAAAGAAGAAACATCTCAAACAACCTGATGTTATGCCTCAAGGAACTACAAGAAAAGAAAAAACTAGGCCCAAGGTTAGCAGAAGGAAAAAAATAACAAAGATCAGAGCAGAAAAAAATAGACTAATTTTTTCTAATAAAAACATTAGAAAAAAATCAACTAAACCAAGAGTTGATTTTTTGAAAAGATAAACAAAATCGACAAACCCTTAGCTAGACTAACGAAGAAAGAGAAAACTCAAGATCAGAAATGAAAGAGGAACACGTTACAACTAATAACACAGAAATACAAAGGATCATAAGAGATTATTATGAACAATTATATGTCCAGAACTTCAGTAACCTAGAAAAAATGGATAAATTTCTAGACACATACAACCTGCCAACACTGAATCAGGAAGAACTTGAAAATATGCACAGACTAATAATAAGTAAAGACATTGAATCAGTAATAAATAGTCTCCCATCAAAGAAAAGCCCAAGACCTGGTGGCTTCACAGGTAAATTCTACCAAAGGTTTAAGGAAAAACTAATAGCAATCCTTCTCAAACCCTTCTGAAAAAATCAGAGAGCAGGGAATTCTTCTGAACTCTTTTTACAAGGCAAGCATTACTCTGATGTCAAAGCCACACGAGGACATTGCAAGAAAAGAAAATTACAGGCCAATATTCCTGATGGAATATACATGCAAAAACCTTCAGCAAGATACTAGCAAACTCAATTCAACATCACATAAAAAGGATCATTCACCACGATCAAGTGGGATTTATCCCTGGGATGCAAGGATGGGTAGACATATGCAAATTTATAAATGTGACATAATAGGATGAAAGACAAAAACTACATGATCATTTCGTTAGATGCAGAAAAAGCATTTGACAAAATGAAACACCCTTTTATAATAAAAACTCTCAACAAATTAGTTATAGAAGGAATGTACCTCAACATAATAAAGGTCATATATGACAAGCCCATACCCAACATACTAAATGGTGACAAATTGAAAACTTTTCCTCTGAGATCCAGAATAAGACAAGGATGCCCACTCTCACCACTTCTATTCAATATGGTACTGGAGGTCCTTGCCAGAGCAAGTAGGCAAGAGAAAGAAAGAAAAAAGACAACCAAATAGGAAAGGAAGTAGTGAAATTGTCACTATTTGCTGATGACATGATGGTATAGATATAGATATAAAATCCTGAAAACTCCACCAAAAAACTGTTAGAACTAATAAAGGAATACAGCAAAGTTACAGGATACAAAATTAACACTAAATCTATAACTAACAGTGAACTATCTGAAAAAGAAATCAAGAAAACAGACCCACTTAAAGTAGCTACAAAAATACATAAAATACCTAGGAATAAATTTAACCAAGGAGGTGACAGATTTGTACACTGGAAATTATCAAACAACAATGAAAGAAATCTATGAAGACAAATAAATTGAAAGATATTACATGTTCATAGATTGGAAGAATTAATATTGTTAAAATGTCCATACTTCCTGATTCAAGCACCAGAGACAAGAAAAAGGAAGGAAAAAGGTCTATATTTTGCGAAGTGATCTACAGATTCAGTGTAATCCCTATGAACACATTCTAATGTTATTTTTCACAGAAATAGAAAAAAAAAATCCTAAAATTCATATGGAAACACAAAAATCCCCGAATACCCAAGGCAGTCTTGAGCTAAAAGAACAAATCTGGAGTCATCACACTACCGAATTTCAGACTATATTACAGAGCCATATAGTAATTAAAACAGCATATATTACAGGCATAAAAATAGAAACATTGACCAATGGAACAGAACGGAGTGTCCAGAAATGAACTCACACATTTACGGTCAATTGATTTTCAAAAAAGGTGCCAAGAACACATAATGGGAAAAGGACAGTCTCTTGAATAAAGAGCATTGGAAAAACTGGATATTTATATGCAGAAGAATGAAATTGGATTCTTATCTCACACCATATACAAAAATTAACTCAAAATGTGTTAAATACTTAAACAAAACACCTGAAACTGAAAAACTACTTGAAGAAAACATAGGGAAAAATCTGGGCAATGGTTTTTTGGATTTGACCCCAAAAGCTCAAGGCAATAAGAGCAAAAATAGACAATACATTTATCTAAAAAGCTTCTGCACACCAAAGAAAACAAATAACAGAGTGACGCAACAACATACAGATTGGGAAAAAAAAAATTGTAAGCCATACATCTGATATGGAGTTAATATCTAAAATATATAAGGAACTCAGCTCAGTAGTAAGAAAGCAAATAACCTGATTTCAAAATGGATAAAAAACCTAGAGTAGACATTTCTCTAAAGATGACGTATCAGTAGCCAACAGATACATGAAAAAATGTTCAAGATCGCCAATCACTAGGGAAATGCAAATTAAAACCACAATGAGATATCAGCTCACATCTGTCAGAATGGCTATTATCAAAAAGATGAAAGATAACAAGTATTGGCGAGGATGTGTAGAAAAGGGAACCCTTGCACAACGTGATGGGAATGTAAATTATGTTGCCATTATAGAAGACTGTATGGAAGTTCCTCAAAAAATGAAATATAGAATTACCATGTGATTCAGCAATCCCACTTCTGAGTATATATCCTAAGGACTTAAAATTAGTGTGTTGAAGAGATCTATGCACTCCCATGTTCATTGCAACATTACTTACAGTGGCCAGGTTATGGAATCCATCTAAAAGTTCATCAACATTTCGACTGATGAATGGATAAAGAAAATGTAGTATATGTACACAATGGAATACTATTCAGCTTTCAAAAAAGGGAAATTCCAGTAATTGCAACAACATAGATGAACCTAGAGAATATTATACTAAGTGAAATAAGCCAGGCACAGAAAGACGAATACTGCATGACCTCACTTCTATCTGGAATCTGAAATGATCAATCTCCATGATGGTTACCAGAGGCTGAGGGTTGCACGGAATGGGGAGGTGTTAGTGAAAGGGTACAAAGTTGCAGTTAGGAGGAATAAATGTTAGTTAAGGTGACAGATATGTTAATTAGCTTGATTCAGTCATTCCACACTGTATGCCTATATCATAATGTTACTGTGTACCCCATAATTATATATAATTATAATTCATCAAAAAATAAAAATAGTAAAAAGAAGATATGAAAGAGATTGGCACCATTTTTTTTTTCAGTCTAGCCTTTTGGAGTGATGAAACCTGAGTCAAGAGGCCATTCAGTAATCTGTATCTGGCAAAACCAAACCCCACATGAACACTGCAGTCACTACTAAGGCTCCTCTCTTCCCAAGTGGCACTCTACCCTGCGATGACACTGCAAACAGAAATGTTCCACTGTGTACCCCTCAATGGCCTTGCTATGGTTGGCACATTCTTACACCTGGATGAAATTCCTTCCTGCTGAAACGTAAACCTACTTTCTCTATTTCTGTTTCTGGAAGTGGAGGACCTCTGGTTAGCATCCTATTTATAGTGACCCTTGCTGTATTTGAAGATAATTAGGTTTATCCCATGCTCTTGCTCTAGGCATTTTAGTCATATCTGCTGTTCTTTTCTAGACCATCACCAATTTCTCTACATCATTCTCAGAAGGTGCAAACACTTAACTTGCTTTTTGAAAAAGATTCAGCATTATGTAGCCAATGATCTCATTTATTAGGCAATATCAGGTGTTATCTAATTTTGGTATATCTCTTCTTTCCTATAAACATTCTTTTAATATATTCTTTAAAGGGCAGTTATAAACATTTATAAATTATAAATAGAATTTCATGGAGCATCAGCTGCTATCATCTCTTGATCCAAATTAAAGCCTTTCCAAACCTCATCATCTGGAGGAAAAAATTGCATACCACGTGTACTGTTATGTAACCAGTTCCACAGTCAGAATTCTGCTATTGGACTGATCTGATTACACAGCACAAGAGCAGAGATATCTTTGCCAAGAATTTGTTTGGGGAAGGCAGCATTTTCTGCCATTGCAAAGAGTAAAATGCTATTTCAGGATCCATTACTGATGCATTCACTTACCAGGCAAAATATGTGAGTGGATGGAGAGTTGTGAGGCTGGGAGGGACCTCGAGGGGCCAGAGAGTGGCACTTGTATGATTCATTCAAGACAGATGGTTGTCTGTTTCATTCTTAATAATCTTTAGGTAAATGGATTCCAAAATTCCTTCAGTAATCTTCCTAGCATTTAAAACAGTCTTTAGAATATAATCTTGTTTTATGTCCCTTAATACTTACCAAAAAATAAATGATGCCTTTTATATCATTAAGGTAAAAGTTGTGCAGGCTTGAAACAGAAGCCATGGGGTACAAAATCAAAGAGTGCAATTTAGTGCTTTGGTGCTGAAAATGGCTGTTTTTTTCTTTTACAGGTCATCATCCAGCTCAGGAAAGCTCGATGTTCCTTGTTCTCTGTACATGAAGGAGCTACAAGGTTTCATTGCCAGAGTTATGAGTGACTATTTTAAACACTTCGAATGCTTAGATTTTGTCTTCGATAACACTGAAGCTATTGCCCAAAGAGCAATTGAACTTTTTATCCGCCATGCCAGTCTCATAAGACCTCTTGGCGAAGGTGGGAAAATGCGACTTGCTGCTGATTTTGCACAGGTAAATTGATGGCATTGCAACAAAGGGAAAAATATCTTGGCCTCAATATTATCTATTAAATAAAAGACTAAATAGATATTCATCAGTGTTTTTAGAATTGCAACATGAAGAAAAGTAAGCCCACTTAAACCTAATTGGTAAATAAAAAAAAAAAAAGGATGAATTTAAAGATACTTTTATACCAGATATTTCTTCTTTGTATTTAAACAAAATAATCACCTTTCATCTGTGATATTTCAAGATTAAGGTGAAGTAGCTCATTCCTCAGTAAAGCAGCATGTTCCATCTTTACATAATATAGGACTTTCTCACTATTTTACTGCCCCATCAATAGGTCAGCATTGATAATAGCAATTGATTGACCTTGCTGGACAATAGCGTGGGCAGTAGAGTAACCTTTCAAACAGTGGAAAGGAGGCTGCCTGTTGTCGTGTCAAAACTCTAGTACATCTGTAATCCTGTAGTGATTCCAAGACAGTGTTCTAATTCATTTCGATGCACTATGGACCGGGTAGATCTAGAATCTGATTATTTGATCTCCCTCTATCAAGTAAAATACATTTTCTTATCTGTGGCTAGCTTTGATATCATTCCAGACTATCTGATGTGTGTGAGATAGAATGACATTAAAATAGCACAACATAATCAGCCCTTGCAGAAAGGTTTTTTTCTTTGTCCTTTAGATAGATTTTTTAAAGCCCTTCAGTAACATCAGAGGCAAAGAAGAAACATCCCAAACTTATACTTTCATTAAAATATTCAGAAACAGAAATGAATCTTATTTATATACTATGTCAAGGGTACAATCATTTTTTAAGCCTTTCAAAGCTGCTAGCTTTACTAAACAGTTATTCAAATGGATTCTTTCTAGTGATGTGCCAGATCGTCCCTGCTTATTAAGATAAATGTTAATGTCAATATTTATTCTTGCATGGATCTGGGAGTGTGTCTTGGTTCATAATTTTCTGCACCAAGGAAAGGACCTGGGCGGACTGCTTTCTCCAGGGTGATGGCAGTCAGATGCCCCCTCATACTCGATACACTTACAAAAAAGGATCAGGTAACACAACCCTAAGGTTTCTGGAGTCTGGCTCTTTTTGCATGTTACTTGATGTAGCAATTAGTCACTTTCATCCCTAAATATTATGTCTGAGACCACTAGACCACAAGAGAGCCTTCCTTTGGGAAATACGCCTTTAGTAGCCACAGCATGAAAACAGAAATTAAATGTTACCATTAACATGGCTCTTTTTACCTTTTCCATTTTTGTCAGCTTCATTCTTAGGCACCTGTCCATTTTGCTTTGTTTCACAGGTAAACTCAGAGAGAATTATATGTAGTGTCCTACTTGTCCCTTACTGGGGTTACAGGCTGCTTGTTGAAATGAAAATCCGGTGACATACTAGGACCTGCTCTTATTTGTTAAAAAACATTGTAAACTATACTCAGATGGGTCTCTGTTCTCCTTGTCCCCTTTCCTCCTCAGTTTTGTTTTTCTTTTCCTATGCAATTCTCTCCCTAGGCTCCCTCCCCCACCAGCTTATTTGCATTCTGCTCCAGCTGGTTCTTGAGTCACTTTCCTGGAGGCAGCACTTCAAGTCCAATTAGAGTGGCAGCCGAGCAGGAGATGGCCAAAACGAGAGTGCCGTGGGAGAGAGGCTTGTTGTTTTTGTTTTTTGTTTTAATGATATGTTTGTTCCCTGTGAGTCTCGGAAGATGGACAGTATTGTCCTTTAACCCTTGATACCACAGCTAGCACCTGCTCAAAATGCATAGCATCCAGTGGCAGGTGAGCTTCCACCTTCCAAAAACTGCATTGTTCAAAATTTTATTTGGCATTCCTTCTTTAGGACGTGTTGCCCAATAAGCCAGACTCTTCCTGGGACCCTTTCCTTAAGATCAATGAAACTCATCAGTCGTTATTACTAAGTTATGCTCAAAGGCCTCTTCTGTTTTCTATATCTGAAATATAGAAAAGGTGTCTACACACACAGCATTTACTCAGCGTTAGGAGTGTATCAATGCCCTGCATTGATATTGGGTTGCTGCAGGCAGTGAGGCATTGAGAAGCAGATTCAGATTCCTTTGTTCACCCTTTACAGTGTGTCCCAGTTTCCAAACATCCTGCCATTCACCTTGGGGATGGCTCCAGTCCTGTGGGTCATGGGCACAGGGAAGACAGGTAGAAGTACTATTATAATTAATCATATTTCTGATCAGTAACTTTGGCAAATGTCCAGCTGTTATGTCATGATCCCCTCTACCCATTTTTTTAAATTAAATTTGGGGGATTTATTTCATTTGGATTGGTTTCTTGCCACAACTGCAATTATATATTGTTGCACCTCAGTTTTCGGCATCATACTTGGTTTGAAGTGTTTTTAGAGGGTCAGTCAGAACACTTAAATAGCATTACCCTCACATTTATGTTCATGACAGGCATCAGCTACGAACTAGAAGTCTTATTATTGGAAGTTCTATCAATTTGTGTTCAAAATTAAACAAGCCATTGAGGTCACTGGAATGAAGAATATATAGATACACTATGGCTTTGAAAAGTGTTCTTGTGATGAAAGTGGCCGCTATTCTGGCATAATGAACAGGAAGAGAAAGAGTTCAAGAAAGGACCCATAGAGCAGGTTTGGGAATGCTATTTATTTGGCATAAAGTCCAGTTGCAAAGAAAGATAATGATTTTTTTAAGGATTTCTTTAAGAATCCTGACCATTCCCCACTGGCACCGGTGCAGAGAAAGAAAACGTAGTTGCAGGGTGCCATCTGGAGGGCCCAGGGTGAGGGAAGTACCCAACATGCAGCCCCCTTAGGAATCCAGGTCACGGGCATGAGGTGGTTTCCTACAGGTAATTAGTTCCCTCCTGTGACCACATGGTCCTGGTTTCCACACTAATCACATGGCACTTCTGAAAGCACTAGGCTCGGCCAAGGCTGGGCTTCTGCTGCCTGTGAACCTCTCTGCGTACTGGCCATGGTGCGCTCTGAAGCGCACGCTCCCTTCTGCCCTGCTGTTTCTTTTCTTCCTTGAGGGAAAGGATGACGATTGAACTCAGTATTAAATTACTTAGTGATACTTCTAGCAGTTTCTGTTTGATCTCCCAGTGCCCTTTAAGTACACATTTATATCTGTTTTACTTTGTGTCTGCAAATATAAATTGAGGAAACAAGATAATCAAAATTCTAATTTCTGTTTTAATTCCTGTTTCTTCTCTTGAACATTGTCCGGGCAGAAGGGATATCCAGAGATGCCCTGTGGTTAACCAAATGTCTGTGGTGGGTAAAGAGCAGCTATGTAATTAGTTCACCATGCCTGCAGCTGACTGCTCATTCCCTGCAAACAGGAGGGCCAGAAAGAAGCAGTTATACATGCCATTTTTGTATCCACAGCTAATTGCAGAGTCACCTCCTCTGAAAGGAACACTCCTGCCCTTTCAAATGTAGACTTTAATGGAATTCTGGCAGAAGAAAATGATTTTCAATACCCTAGAGGTCTTTTATGGCTGAAAATTATTTTAAACATTTAACATTTTGAAATTGTCCTATGGCATCGAAATCTTTTTCATTATCATAGATTTTATAGCCATTCGAGATCATATTTTCTCATGTAGTAACTTTTTCCTAGCCATTTGTTTTAATATTTAGTACTGCTCAAGTGCTAAGGCAAATATTGTTTGGTTTGATTTTTGAAGACAGTGAATCCCCTAGGATAACTGAGAAAAAATGGACAAAATTATTTCTTGAAAAATATATCACATAATTGTAGTGTGTAAAAAACCATTTAATATATACAGTTAGGTATATGAATGGAGTTACCAAATCAAAGATACATGATAATGACATTTTTCCTTTGTACTCAGTGTAAAGTAAATGATACATTTTGAAAGAAACCAGAAACTCCCACCCAGTGAATAAACAAAACAGGTCCCAAGGAATAGCCCATCCATCACCCACTGTCTTTTGTGTTAAGAACATTGGCTCACAGCTGTTCTGTTTTTGCACTGTTGGCAAGAATCCTTTTTCTTCCTTAGATTTTTTTTTATTTTTATTTATTTATTTTTCTGTATTTTAGAGTTTTCCCACCGTGTGAGGTTTCCCTCTGGGACATAGAGTATACACTTTGTGTCTTCTGTACATTAAGAGAGAAATTAACCTGGCCACTATTTGTCCTCAAGACTGTCTCAAGGAAGCTGTCCTCCAATTCTCTCATGACACTCAGGTCATACATTTGATATAGCATTTATCATTTTGCTCAATAATAATCATGTGTCTATATGCAGACATACATACCTTTCTTATGATTTTATTGAATCATAATCAGATTATTTGAATAAATAAATATCCCCTTCCTCATTAAATTTGAGAACTTAGTGAAGGCAAGACACTCTAATTCATCATCTTATCCTCATGTCTAGCTCAGTGCCCAGCAATAAGGGAGTCAAAATGTTTCTCAGATTAATGATTGATTGGGTCTCTGGTCTACCCGTAACAAGATTTTGAGCAATTTTTTATAAGGATGGCCAGGAGGGCAGAAAATCTCACTTCATATATTTTTCTTGAAGAAAGATACTCTACTACCAGGGAGCAGCCCATTCTTAGTCGTTTTCTCAATTGTTCTTTACAAGGGTGCTATTCATAGCGAGAGTGGAGAAACAGTTTATCATCTGAGTAGCACATATGCAAAAAGCTTGCCTATGCACTTGATAGATAAAGAACAGGTAGTCTAATTAGTGACAAGTAGACTTTCCAGTCGAAGGAGGAAAGTAAAGAGAACTGAAACTAATATTTGCTAAATTCTTGAGGCAGGGAGCAGATTAATTTACTAATAATTAAAAGAGAAAAATTTTTTGAATATGGATAATAATTGCTGACATTTAATAAGCACTTACATGCCATGCATATAAGGCTTTATGGAAGTACCTATTTTGCCTCATTCTATTAAGTAGGTATTATTATCTCCATTTTACAGATGAGAGACCTGAGGCTTCAAAAGGTTGTCCAGGGTCACACAACTAGTAACTGCAGATTTGGAATTCTCACACAGTTGTGCTACTCGAAGCTCCAGAGTTAGTGCTTTTAACCACTTGGGCCACACTCACTGATATAATAAGAATTGTCATCATTTATATTGAACATGAAAAGACCTGTAATGCCTACTTAAAATAGAGGCACACAGTTAGTCCTGAAAAATCTTCCTTTTCCCGACTGGAAATCTCCTGATGGAGAAATCATCTAAACTTTCTCGTCTTACATAAGAAAAAAGTGGTTTTCTGTTTTCATGAAGGAATTATCTCATCTTGGGCCCTTTTAGTAAATAAAAGTGAAAATTATCTAAGTTCTTGCCTTTTAATAAATTTAATTGGTTTTCTAAACTTCCTTTACTGTCCAGATAATGTTAAGTTTACTGCAAGCTACAACTTTTTGTGATCCAGGTATGTCCCAAGTTCACCTTAGGATTCTGACATTAAAAGCTATGGACTATCTTTTAATATTTCAGATGGAGTTGGCTGTGGGTCCATTCTGCAGACGAGTTTCCAACTTAGGAAAGTCCTATCGAATGCTGAGGTCATTCAGGTGAGACTGAATTCTTTGTTAGCATGTTCATATCTTATAGCAAATTCTTTCTTCCTGTTTAGGTTGAACTATATAAAATTGCCAGTATTCAACAGTGGCGATTTCATATGATTCATCTTAGAAATTATTGTTCAAATCAGAAACCCATATAGAATTATATGCAATGACTAATAAGTTTGTGTGTGTATGTTTCTTTTTAAGTTACAATTCACAAGATTGAGGTAGTAAATTATGCTCTTTCTAGGATTTTTTTTTCTTTCCATTCTTACAGAAATGTACTGAGTACTAATACGAGGTAGTTCATAATTATATACACATCTTTTCTGAAATTTTCATTTGTTCATTTATCATTTTTAACTCAATCTTGTCCTAAAAAGGTCCTAAGTTACAGTCCAAGATATGGATATAACAAAAATATTGAATGGAACCAGGTGTGGTGGCTCACACCTGTAATTCCAGCACTTTGGGAGGCCAAGGCAGGAGGATTGCTTGAGGCCAGGAGTTCAAGATCAGCCTGGGCAACATAGAGAGACTTCATCTCTATACAATTAAAAATAAAAATAATTTTTTTAAAAGAAAAACACTAATTAATGGAGTATTATAAAAACGGAATTCAGTGATGAAAAACAGGGAATGACTATAAATGTAGTAGATAACTTAGCCTAATGCAGTTGAGCACAAAATTTAGGATTGGGCTTCTTAGGAACCAGTTCAGAAAGAAAAACAATGAGTTAATTCATATTCATGATCTAAGACTGTACTAGTTTAACAGAGAGAAAAGTCCTTCTCAGTGCTGAACGTTTAGATAGGCTTTTATCAATTCAGATGTTAAGAAACATTGAATAACTTAATGACAAGGGTCATCAATAGCAGATTTTTAGAAGATACGATGTTCACACGGCTGTTTACTCAATAAACTAGAACTTCCCAGAATTTTTTACATCATGGCACACATAGGAAATATTTACATTCAAAAAGGTGACCAACTCAAGGGAGAGCAACATAATACTTAAAATACTTACAACATTTTTTCTCACCACAGCATACCAGATGGGAAGCCTTAATATAAACTATCCGTAATATCCAAGGACAAATTGGTCTTTGAAGATTTTTCTATAAAGATAAGGTAATATAGTCCTGGCATGCAGCTTTCTAAATACCAGCTCAGTACTGGAAACTAGAGTAGTCAATAAGCAGTCTGTCCTTTAAATGATCGCTTTGCTCTCTTAGGTCATCCAGCTTTGGTAGTAGAAAATTCAGGTGAAATATAAGAATCCAATATTGTTGATTGAGAGGGGAACCCTATACTTTACTTTGCCCATTTGTAACTAGCAAAGGTGCGTTTTTCTTTTTTTAAATGCCAACACAAGAGCTTGAATTTTTTTTTTTTTCCCAAAGGAAGGACCACTGCCCGTTATACAGAAGTGGGTTTCAGGAGAACTTAAAGTAAGATCACAAGTGTTTTCAGATACCTTCTTTGGATGAGCCCAAATCTTTTAAAAAAATATTTAAATATTTTATTGAAGCTGTAGAGTTCCACGTTACCAAACATGGATGAGTTATGAGGTCCTGTGCTTACCAAGCCACCAGTTACCAGAAAAGTAACCTTAATGAAACTTCTGTACTGTCATTGACTTTGAGTAAGATGATAACACAGCAATCCCAGCTGGGTAATGAGGTCGTCCTGGCTAACTGAGTCAGTTAACATACTGAAGGATATTACCCACCTAGATGTGAGAAAAGCTGTGATGTGGCATTGCTATATTAAGTATAGGCTATTATTTTTGATTGTCCCAAGTCCCACATTTAGTTGTTTATTGCATGTGAATGTATAAAATACATTATCCTCTGTTTGCCAAGGCAGGATGGCCTTAATCCAAGCACTTTTAAAGTTGTATCATGGTATTGAGATACATGTTCTGAGGATAGTTTCACATAAGACCAAATCTGTTTTAAGCCATTTAAGATGGGAATTTTCTGTCAACCCTCCTAATTCTCTCATGACACCTTCTAGTACCTATTTATAGAATCAAAAATTAATGATTGATCAGTGTATAATTTTGAAAATCCTACATTTTTTATATCTAGCTTCTCATGGAGTAATGGGTTTCAAACTTCTAACCATGACTCACAGTAAGAAATATTTTCTGTTGCAATTTGGTCTATACTTGCATACAGACATTCAGACACACTCAAATTTATGTACATACCCATATGTGTGGTTCATGAAACAATAATTACACTTCATGTGATGGTCTCTGGCATTTCTATTTCATTTGATTATTTTAACTCACTAAATTAGTTTCATGATCTTCTAATAATTAGTATCTAGCAATTTCTTAACTTTCTCACAGGGCCCTTAACTCTTGAACATTATTTGTTCTAGCGGTAGAGAGCAGAGTGTTTTCCTTTCTACACACTATGAAGATTTTTACCTTTTTTTCCTAGTATCCCTGAGCTTCCTCCTGCAGATGACTCCTTAGCTCCCCAGGCCTTGGGCACATAATAATTGTATCTTGCCTATGGAGTATCCTCCATAACTCAAATTAATTGGAAAACTCCAACAGAGATTTACATATACCAGTATATTCCTATTCAATATATTGAATCTATAGAAATCTACTGAATTGATCCTAGAACTTTCTCCGTTGTTTAATGGGACTAGCACAACTATTTTATAAAGAGTCTAGGATTAACTGAATCAAGAAATAAAATGGAAGCATAGTCTCATGGAGTTCAAATCCAGCCCTGGTCTACAAAGAAGGTTTTCAGTCCCATTGCTTGAGAAATGCAAACATGTGCTGCCACCTCTGCCTGGCACCATTGTTGGGAAAGCCTCTGGCCCTGCCAGCTTCTTTGCAGTTGTCACACGAAGAGAATTGACTTGGGAAAGCTTACTCAAGTGGCGGGTCCTACCAAATCCCTGCCTAGAGAGGAGTAAATCAGTACAGAGCAATCTTTATTCTAATAACCTAATTAGGGGCCCTCTATTTGTCTACCTAAAAAAAGCTTGTTAGAGATCTGTCTCTTCTCCAAAATTAGTCCTGAGCAGTCGCAACAGAGAACTCTTATTAATATGTGCACTTCTTCCATCTGTGCTGGGGGCTGCGGCAAGGAATAGGCATCATCCAGTGACCGTGTACATATTAGACCTTGGCTCTCATTCATGGATCTCTTCATCAGAGCTTCTGAATCATACCAGAACCAACTGAATGGCAGTCAGTAGGGGATTGGCTAGATAAAATATGCCACATTCATAGAATCAGATATACGTAGCCATAAACAATTATGATGTTAGTTCATATCTAGTAAAATGAAAAATACTCCTTAATGCATCAATAAATGAATAAATAGGCTGCTAAGCAATATATATGGTATGATTCCTACTATTTTTAAAATAATAGTATTTGTTTCTATGTATGGAAAAGAAAAGCCAAAAAGGAAAAACATTAAAATATTATCTTTGGATAGTAGGATTGTCACTAGTGGTTTTTCTTTTAAGGTTTTCTATATTTTTCAAATTTTATGCCACAGTTTTATTTTTATAGTCATAAAAGTCAATAAGTATTATTTTAAAATCCCTCTTGCATTGTTTTTCCCGTTTAAAAATAACAATAGAGCTAAAAAAAATAACATATACTAAAACATTACCCAATAGGATGGGGGGAGTGACAAGAAAAACAGGCAGCCAAACAGCTGAGAAACCTAGCAGGTTGCACTAGCCACAGAGGGCCTCCGTCTGAACTAGAGTCAGGGGCTGTAGGGGAGGGCAGCAGGCTCAGTACAAGGGCCCTGTAGTAAGGGAGGTGACAATGCCAGCCAGAGAGCCTCCAGTCCAGACCCCAGGTGCAGCACCCACCACACACATGCACACGCATACACACCCTAGCACATGTTTCCTTCCCCCATCACGCAGCCATCTGCCGCAGGACCCTTTCTTCCTGACAGTAATATTAGTGGACAGTGCGAGCTTCTCGCATACATTTACATTTTACTGTCTACGTTAGAGTTTCTCAGTCAACAGAGATCTTTTCGTACCCATGACAGAATGCTGCCTCGGAAAGCTGCTGACATTAGTGATTTGCTCCTGGGTGATTTGTATTTCTACACAAGACGCATGTGTCAGAGCTGTCCAGACCCCATCTTTGTTCATTTCTCTGCAGCATGGCATTATCCCCTAACTAGTGTTTATGAGGCTGTTGCCTTCACTCCCTCTGGCCAGAAGATGGAAAGCTCTGAGCCTTGACATTGTCAATGCAGATCTTTGTGAGGCAAAGGACAGAAAATGGACAAATGCCCTTCACCAGCTCAGGGACACAGACCCTGCCTTCAGACAGGCCTCAACACCTTTGCTCCTGAGGGACAGTTTGTCCCTGATGGTGTCCACAGCCTGCTCTGCTAGAAGCTTCATTACCATCTAGGCTTAATGAAAGAGCACTGAAAGCTGTCAGGGGATAGCGACTACATTCTGACAGATCTGGTAGCCTGAGGAATGGGGGAAGAAGGAAACCATCAATAACTGCAATGTTGTGTTCATGTCTTTTTTTTTTTTTTTTTCTTTTTGAGACAGGGTCTTGCTCTCTTGCCCGTGCTGGAGTGCATAGTGCACTGCAGCCTCAAACTCCTGGGCTAGAGCAATCCTGCCTCAACCTCCTGAGTAGCTGGGACTACAGGCGCACGCCACCACCCCCAGCTAATTTTTCTGTTTTTTGGTAGAGACGGGTACTCTTGCTCAGGCTGGTCTCAAACTCCTGGCCTTAGGTGATCTTCCTGCCTCAGCCTCCCAGAGTGCTAGGATTACAGGCGTGAGCCACCACGCCCAGCCCACGTCAATTGTTTTTAATTGTAGGAGTAGAAGGGTTTTCCAGGTCTACAATTTGTACTAATGATCATCTACTGCTTGAAATTCCAAACCTCTGTGCCTGAGTGTTTGCAGAACTGAAAGAAGACCATCTCTGCAGCTTCCATTTTTAGCACTTTTAACATTAAGACTCCCAGAT